AAGTAAATGTGTTTAAAAGTTTTACAAAAAATGTAAAAAAAAAGTCACAGCATCCATTTCCTAAAAGAAATGAATGTTTTGATAGTTGAATGGCTAAATTTGCAGTGTATACAAAAAAAACAGAGTGAGACTGCTGAATCAGAATTTTTCTTTTATGATTGCTTCTCTCTATTCCTGCAGTCTTGTTTTGTCATGTTCTGTTGTAAATAAAACTTTGTTGTTTTTCATGTGTTGTTTTGTAAAAAAAAAAAAAATTAAAAACTGTTGTGGTTTGAAGCTTCAGGGTTAGTGAGGAAATAACAATGTCTACAAAGAATGACTGGTGGCAGAAGAACAAACATTTTTCAGACTTTCTTTTATCTTTCTCAGAACGCTTTGAAATACACTCTTCATGTCTTCAGGCATCTCAAACTTATAATGAAAAAAGAAAAAGTTTTTTGAATTGAAATGTTTAGTTTTGCAGCAAGATGATGCCTCTGGAAAGCTCTGCTTGTTTTGACAGARTCAGAATGTGAAACCAGGTATTTAATAAAGATTGTAACACTTTTCTTTCCCCCTGCAGGTTGTTCTTCATCCAGGGTTTCAGTCTCAGTCTGACTGGGACAACGACCTGGCTCTGATCAAACTGGAAAACCCTGTGATCTTGAGCGATAAGGTGACTCCMATCCCCCTGCCAGAGAGAGGCCAGGACCTGGACTTGGTGTCGGGTGGTTCGGGGGTTCTCGCAGGCTGGGGCTGGGGGGTCCACCTCACTCCAGCTGCATCTCTTAAACACCTGGTGCTCCCCCTGGCCAACAGCTCTGACTGTAAAGCAGAATATGAGCGTTCTGCGCTCACGCCGGCCGTGGATGATAACATGTTCTGCACCGGACCCACTGAGTTTCAGGAGAACGTTTGCTTCGGGGATGCCGGAGGCGCTCTGGCTGTCACAGATGCTCAAACCGGAGATMTTTATGCTGCGGGAATCCTTTCATARGACAAATCCTGCAGCCGGTACAAGCACGGAGTCTATATGAAGATTTCCTCATACTTGCCTTGGATCCACAGCGTCATGAGGGGAGATACGGAGAAATCATCTGCTCTGCGCTCCGATGCAATGTCTAAGATGGTCTCACGTCAACCGTAGAGCTCCAGGTCTTTTTTGTTTTGATGGATGTTTGAAAGAGAGATTATTGTGTCTGTAAACAACTGTAGATTAAATGATGTGACGAATGAAGTTATAAAATAAAGTATATCTCATTTTCAAGAACATGAAGACTCTTTGTTACACAGCAAAGCAAGGCTTTAAGGTTTCATTCTTTTATATTTTGTTTAAATCAAACTGTTGTAGGACAGGACAACTCATTTTCACAGAGGGCCACATGAGCATTAAATAATTAACTTTGATGTTTTGTGTTTAACTTTGACTAAAAATAGGAAACATCARCTTCTTCCTCTTATTGTTGAGCACTGCTAACCTACAATAACTGAGCTCTARGTGGTATTTCCTGCATAGCTACAGTGTTTTAACATTTCCTCTTATAAACACTGAAAATTATATGTGTACGACTGACTTAATGTTAAATAAATAACACAGAAGTACAATTTAAAGTCAAATTTAGACTTCTACTCACTGATTTAATTTCCTGCAAAACCCAATGTAAATTTTGAGAGGAGGGAAAAAAATCTATTATGGCTAAAGCTATAAAAGCAAAACAAAAGCTAACAACTAAAAGGAGCAAAACACTAGGTGATAATCAAATTTGCAAAATCCTACCAAAATGCAACAAAACACTAGCTAAAACCTTTAAAAAAAAACAAAAGAAGCAAAATGCTAGTTAAAATCACTAGATAGAAAACACCAGCTAAAAGCTAAAATTAGCAAAAGTTCACTTTAAAACTTAATTAGCAGATAGGTAGCTAAAAGCAGATTGAAAGTAGCAAAACTCTAGCTAAAAGTAGCAAACGTTTAAAACTAAAGCAGCAGTTTTATTCACTATTGAGCTGTGGTGAGTAGTTACTGTCTTGAATTCTGAACTCTCCTACTTTATGACAGGGAATTCCCACTTGAGGGGTGTTGCACTTCAAATTTTGTGACTTGTAAGTAGGAAATTCCCACTTACCATCACAACTGGGTCACAGCAAAAAATAAAGATTTTGTACTACAAATTTTGCATGTTTTGGCTACTTTTGAAGTCTGTGCACCTTCACTTACATATGCCAGCATTTTGTGAGTAAAATAATCAACATGCATTATGGGAGATGTAGTTTGWAGTCAGTGCTTTTTATTTTTGCTTTATTTACTTTTATTTAGACAGGTAGTCTCATTTACAAAATAGAGCTATAAAACACAAAACATCAACCGTATACTTATTTCAAGACATTAGTATGTGAAACTCTTGCAGGCCACATYAACTGCTGTTGCTGGCCAAATGTGGCCCGCTGGCCTTTAGTTTAACACGATGCAGGATATTTCAAAAAAGGGGATCAAACCTGAACTTTGTGTTTTTGTCTCATAAAAAGTTGGATTTTGACCGAGAGTAACCTGCCTCAACTGTCACAACTCTCTTATTCTTCCATTTGAAAAGCTTTTTGATTTGTGCTACAGTTTTAAACACACTGATGAGAAATGAAACAGACACCAGTTACCAGAAACTGTGTTCACACGAGACGCTTCACTGATCCTCATTTAACTTTAAAAAGACAACTTGAAAGCGTCACAGCGTTTCATCAGTCCAAAGCTTGAAAGCCAACTTTTTAACAATGAAGTAAAATGGAGGATGGCACAATTCAAATGATGCCTTCAGGAACACAGCTTCAAAG